ACATGCACACAAACTTATATAACACACTACTGGAAAGGGAAAATCCACAAAAAGCCGAATAGGGCCACTTTAGAGGGGTTGTATATAATCATTTACTGTCAAAGTAAATCTTAAAAAAGACATTGCAATGAATATAAATTGTATTCTTGAAGAAACGCCCAATAAAACAGAACGGCTCTGCTCCTGTAAAGTACATTCTCCTTCTGTAAGGGACTTTTTGAATCCGCAAATTAATACACAAATAGAACGGTGTATATTGGTGTTATTTTCACCACCATAGCAAAGATGGCTCGGACAAACTGTAGCTTGAGATCCATATCACAATGTGAAGTCACATAAATAAAAAATTGTGTCATAGACTTTAATGACTCAGAGTCTGCAGGGGGCCGCCTGTTAACCCACTTACTGCAGATACACCCATGACTCAGGATGGACATATTTCCCATGAAGCACCATGTCAGCTGTCAGAGTGGGTGGATGTTCCTGGGGAGTGGGTAGGGTGGAGTTTAGAGGAAGGGAAGAGGACTGAAGTGGTGGTATTGCATTTCATGCTCCAGAATGAAGCTCCAGACTGAGGCCCCGGGCTATAAATAGGCTCCCAGATGGAGCTCAGTTGAAGGGTCAGGACAGCTGGGTGGGAGTGTCGGGGGTTCAGCTGGTGAGGGTGATCGCAGTGTCTCTGAATCCAGGCTAGCAACTATAACTCTGCTGTAGAGAAGACCCACTTTTGTTTGATTTGAAGCCCCTGAAAGGCTCTTCTGCCAGGAACCATGGCTCTGCCCATAGACCCCATGGATGAACCCAGGATGTACCAGCAGACGCTGCTGCAGGACGGCCTGTTCGAACTGTTGGAGAACGACAAGCTGGTGGACTGCGTGCTGAAGATCAAAGACAAAGAGTTCCCCTGCCACCGCCTGGTGCTGTGCGCCTGCAGCTCCTTCTTCCGCTCCATCTTCCTGTCCGACCTGGAGGAGAGCAAGAAGAAGGAGATCGTGTTGGAGGACGTGGAGCCGGGCGTCATGGGGCTGGTCCTCAAGTACCTGTACACCTGCAAAATCAACGTGACGGAGCAGAACGTCCAGGACATCTTCGCCGTGGCTAACGTGTACCAGATCCCTTCCATTTTCACAGTTTGTGTGTCTTTCCTACAGAAGCGCCTGAGCCTGAGCAACTGCCTGGCTGTGTTCAGACTCGGCCTGATGCTGGACTGCCCCAGGTTGGCGCTTTCTGCCCGAAACTACGCCTGCGAGCGCTTCCAGCTGATCTCCAGAGACGACGAGTTCTTCCAGCTGCTCCCCAGCGAGTTGGCCGCCATCCTAGCAAACGATAATCTGAACGTAGAGACCGAAGAGGCCGTGTTCGAGGCGCTGATGAACTGGGTGAGCCGGGACACGGGGAGCAGAGAGAAAGAGCTGCCGGGTCTGCTGGACTGCATTCGCCTGCGTCTGGTCAGCCAGGATTACCTGAAGGAGAAGGTGGAGAAGAACGAACTGATCTCCAATAACTCAGAGCTCCAGCAGAAGATCCAGGTGGTTAAGGATGCTCTCGCTGGGATAATGCCAGAAGTTAAAAAAATCAAAAGCACGGAGAACGGAGGAGCAGAAGGAGAGGATGAGGAACAAGAGGAGGAGGAAGGTCTTCTCCCGGGAATCCTGAACGACACGCTGAGATTCGGGATGTTTGTCAGGAACTTGATCCTCATGGTGAACGAACCCGGGGCCGTGGCGTACGACCCCACAGGGAACGACTGCTTCCTGGCTTCTCTGTCCACACAGGTGCCCAAGAACCACATCAGCCTGGTGACCAAGGAGAACCAGATCTTTGTGGCGGGAGGGTTATTCGTCGACGAGGAGAACAAAGAAGATCCACTGTGCTCCTTTTTCCTACAGGTAGGGAAGGCTCTAAATAAGGATTTGAGATAAGAGATAGTACTAAACATTTGTGGGGTTTTTGTTCTTTACTATATAATATAACATCTGTACCGCTGAAAAAATTGAAATATTTGTATGGTAAACCTTTTAGAAGCAATGTCCTAGAGGCGTTTATATGTAGAGAAACTATTATACTTTTTGGGGGTTGTTATATAGATTGTTGTGCATGTAAATGGTCTGCAAAGGCAAAACTCCCAAAGTTTCTATATTCACAAGACAACAAAAATATATATTTTTTTGGCATTGTTAGGTTAAATATCTCACTCTATGTAACTTGAAAAAGGTTGAATAATATGTATTTTCCAGCCTTTTACATGTAGCTACAGAAATAAAAAGGGACCAACTATGTATCAGGGGTTTTAACCTGAGTACACATACCTGCAGTGTTTGTGTTTGTCTACATGTGGCGTAAATACAACTGTAGCGTAGGTCTTATCCCTGAATTAATAAATTAAACTTGGGCGCCAGACAGAGGAATATTTAATATAGCCAGCTGTCAAAAAAATGATATGCTTAAACACGCAGAAACAGAGGGATAGCCCGGTGACCTAGCTACTGAAGTTTATGGCTTGATTAGCCACTCCCCTTTTTCTCAGGGAATCTGTAGGTGTGTGTTTACTTTTTCCCTGTCCTGCTACACAACCCCATTCACAATTGTTTGACCTCCTGTGACCTCAGTATGACCCGGTCAGTGCTGATTGGCTGGGGATGCCCCCCCTCCCGTCGCCTCGCTTCCTATTTGGTCTGGCCGAGGCCGAGAATTTCATCTTTGTTTTGGGAGGGAGGGAGCTGAAGGAGACGGAGTGCACGCTGGACTCAGTGCTGGTCTACGACAGAGAGTGAGTATGAGTTCAAGTAACTGTAAATAAATCTGCTTTTCTCTGGACTGAATCCTAATTTATTTATAATTCTACAGATCTTTTAAATGGGGGGAATCGGAGTCACTTCCCTGGCCGGTGTATGGACATGCGACTGTATCCCGCAAAGATGTTGTTTATGTGATTGGAGGAAAGGGAGACAGCAAGTGAGTATTAAGTGCAATCAAAACATCTGTAGCTAGTGCAAATACTTTACTCTTCATGATGTTCTTTGTCTCTTGTGAAAAGGACCTGTCTGAAGAAGATGTGTGCGTACGACGCCAGGAGATTTGAATGGAAGGAGCTTGCACCCATGAAGGTTGCACGCTCTTTATTCGGAGCCACAGTTCATAAGGATAAAATATATGTGGGGACAGGAGTCACCGACGAAGGGCTGACGGACACTTTGGAGGTGTATGACATCGCTACCAACACGTGAGTGCACAGATATCAGAGAATTAGGCAGATAATCAATGAATCAATCAATCAATCAGTCAATGATGCAGCGACATTCAGTTTTCTGGCCCCAAGGCAAGACTTTGAAGAAAGAGGGAATGAAGAGATATTGTTCACATTTCTTTTAGTTAATTAAACTGCAGTTACATTTTCACAACACTATTTCATTTTAAATCAGTTCTTTTCCCCAGGGAGAAACCTTTAAATTTAGCTTTAAAGAGGAAATATTATCGTAATTTTCCCAGTGCACCATATTGAACTGCTCCCTTATGTGTGTGTGTGTGTTTACATTGTTCAGGTGGTCAGACTTCGTAGCGTTCCCTCAGGAGCGCAGCTCTCTGATGCTGGTGTCTCTGGTCGGCCAGCTGTACGCTGTCGGAGGTTTCGCCATGATGCCTCTGGAGGACAGCGAGGAGATCCTTCCCAAAGAGATGAACGACATCTGGAGGTGGGTCACAACATCATACGTTCATTCATACATTTATTAACTTATCCACAGTGTTCCTCACCGTCACGTTGGATAAGGTTGACAGAAGAAATAACAGGAAGTCAGACAATACCATACCAATGGCACTGTTTAAGGGTTTTTCAGGGTGTGTTTGAGTTTTACTTTAAGTCTTCTGTCCTTCTCAGGTTTGATGAGACGGAGAGGAAGTGGACGGGGGTCCTCAGAGAGATCCAGTACGCTGCAGGGGCCACGGTTCTGGGGGTCCGCCTCAACACCCTGCGTCTGACAAAGATGTAAAACCCACTCCAGTTCCTGCTTGTTAACAAATCTGTTACATCAACAGAGACTTTGAGACTCATCGGTTTGATATTACACAATGCAATAGCAGTTTTATGTGGTTCTGGTTTAAAATCATGCACAATTTTCAGTTTTGATTGAATACGTTTTTATATATGTGTGTTTCTGTGGTTTAAAACTGTAAACAAACTGTATCCTGTTGGCCTTTTTTGCACTGTAATGAAATAAAATGTAAGTTTAGTCATTACAATCATGGAAAATGTGTTTGCAACAAGCTGTACATTTCACAACAGATGGAAGCAAAGTCATAATCTAAGAGGAACAAACATGAACAAAAACACAGCACACGTCTCCATTTGCAATAATATATCTATATTGTTTAATATTTAAATGATGTCATAACGCTCTGCTGTGTTACAGACAGTAAACATTAGTCAATAATACAATAAAAGACAGAAAATACAGTCTAATGTTATTAGCACCTCTAGACACTACTGTCCTCGAACGGGTTTTAGTATTTTAATATAGCTGAACTACTGCCTACACATGGTCTTTGTACACCAGTTAACTAAGACATAGTGTTTACATTATAAAGTAGAGAAATAACAGTACACATTATGATTTAACACAGCTGCAGTATGAGTAAGTATGGAAAATGTAGAGGGTATGTGGAGAATACGTCTTTGAACTGACTGACATTGTGGTTCTTATCACATCTTCGAACAAACTTATTAAAACAGCCAACCAAACTTTCAAATGCAAAGTAACACAAACTTGTTTTCAAGTCTTTATGGAGCCCAAAAACCGACCAGATGTAGAAGTGTGGTCGGTGTTGGGGCTCCATCAAATTGCCCCAAAACACGGGTAAATAAAGACAAAAAAACTGCCCCATCATTCTTAAAAAAATAACCTTTTTTCATCGTCAAAACATTAACACATTTCTTTAAATTCTAACACACACATAATGCTTTCTCTCCACTCTCGTCAATACCTTAGAAGCCACTAAAATGAATCCCAGGAAGGCCACGGATACAAATCGTTCTGGATACAAACTTCAGCTCTAGCAGCGAAAACACAAGTTTTAATGGCGACCCAATTTGTCCGTGTCATTAGCATTCTGCTTTGCACCGACTGCCATGTTCAATGCTTCATGACGTGATGAACATTTGCTTCGAGGGCAATGCAGAATGCACGTCACTGTGATGTCTAGGCATCCACTTAATCACCGTTAGACCCTATTTTAAGGAGAAGGGCAGGTCCACTTCTGCCTGATCTAATACAAGCCTTTGGCTGCTAGCCTTAGCAAAGGACAATTTGGCTAATCTTCAAATATAAAGCCTTGCCTGTGCAAACGTTTCCCTTCTCAGTTTCTTATATCTCAGCTTCACTGCCATTTCACTTTTAAATAACAAATACTTACACTCTTTTTAGGATTTGGGGGAGATTTTAATCCAGAGCTCGATTAAATGTTTTTGTCTCGTTTGCGTCTGGATTTAGGAAAGGCTAAATAATCCAAGACAAAGGATCTACAAATAAATTCTGCTTCCGAGGGTGGATTCAGATTTTTGCACTTCCTCAAAATGCTGTGTCATTAAATGCAAATGTTTTATAGGGTTTAAAAACAAAAGAATCACCTCCAAAATTATAAATATGACCCAATTTGTTTCACTAATTAAGAATCCATTCATTAATACTTCACTAGTTTGGAAGCCCATCACTTATGCTGCTGTTATTATATTTCCATCTAACTTCAAACAGGTTTTTAGGGTCTGAACAAACACTTCTGAAGTCCCCTCGGTCTGAATGAAATGTTGGTTCACAGGATTTATCACTGGCCAAGGACACGTTTCTGGCAGAGACTGCATTTTTGTAATTTCCTATAATCCTTATGTCATGGAAATATAAAAAACACAAGTGCCATCAGCAGATTTCCAGTCATATAACTGCTACTGCATCAGCCTTAATAACATACTAGCGGAACTGGAGTTTAAAGTGCTCATAATAATTAATAACTCTCATTTATCAATTTTGGCAACTGACAACTTCCTTTACAATTTCACATAGAAAGAAATATGACTCCTATATTAAAGCCCATTAAATAGACGCACATTGGTCAGAACTTCTTTATAAATGTAGTAATCGGGGAACAAGCCAATCAGAAACAGCCAATGATGTCAAACAGGCCCCTGCCACTTCTGCACCCAATCCACAATCTGATCAATATTTGAAGAAAAATACAAAGAATTTGAGCTTTTTCAAATTATTCAAAAACATAAATTTCCAAAAACGATAAATGTAAAATGTCTGCCTTTGGATTAAGCCTGCTGTGTGGAAGATATATTTTCACTACACATCTCTGCTCCGGTATCTGTTGTTCACCTTGTATCTGCAAACATGTTCCCATAATGGGCTAGCGTAGCAATCAAATTCAAAGTGCATTAATCAGTAGTACTAACTACTATCCCTCCTCCTTTACCATCAGCTACTATCATAATCTATAACACACAAAAAAACATTCAATCCCTCCAAGTATAAGGCGAATACACACACTATAACCACAGTATCTCAGTATTGTCTCTTGGTGCCTTTCAAAGCAGTGAAGAGGGAAATACTTGGTACATGTTTCACCTTTTCTCTTTCCTAAGTGGAGCTAACAGAGTGCAGTTCACTAAAATACCACAAGAGAGCAACAGATAATGTTTATGTGACATTGCCTTCTCTGTCAATCTACCAGAGACAAGATGAATCCTTGGATTGGTATAAAATGTTGGCGACAAACTGCTTTAAAACGTCTAAATTGTAGCCCATTTGTGACCCTGGAGCTCTTGGTCTAGTAAGGCTAAATTAGATTAGAATATATTCAACAATTTAACAGCTCTAGACTTTTCATTTAAAGGGCAGTTTCAAACTGGACCCTGTACAAAAGCAGCAAAATTAAAGTACAAAACATGTGTTAGACACATGAAGAAACAAAATAAAAAAGTACCTTTTTCAATGTGGCCATTACCATTTAACCATGGTAGTTTAAGAAATACATGTAACTGGGGTGAACCAAGACTACAAAAAGGTGCGTTATTTTCTTCTTAAATAAAACAACGAATAGCTTCAAACATTTACAAAAAGCTTATCCACAAAATCCAACTTTCCGTAGTACCAGCCAAGACACGTGGGGGCACATTGAAATGACTCTCCAAATGTAAACATGAGGAATTAATCACAGGGGGAGAAACACACAATATTTACAGGTTAACGCTATAGGCTACACTACAAGTAGGCTATCTATACAGAAAGTGAGCGGGAGTGCATCAATAGTGCACAGAGACTCTTTTTGGATCATTAATTGATTGAAATGTCAGATTTAAAAGGAATATTTTGACATTTTGAGAAGTATGCGTGTTGCTTTCTTGCTAGTTAGCAGAGCACAAAGATACCACTCTCATATCTGTATGCTAAATATGAAGCTACAGCCAGCTGCTGGTTATTTTAGCATAGACTAGCCTAGCATCGCTTAGCTTAAAGACAGGAAACAGGAAGAAAGCTAACAAAGTGTTAAAATTACAATTTGTGATTTCACAGGGAGCTAGCTTAAAAACACAATGACTTTTAACGATACACAAATTATTGATTTTCTGGTATTGAAAACAAAACCAGATTTGACGTGCTAAGTAGTTAGCTTTGGGTGCTATTTAGGTGGATTTCTTTCTTTTTTAGGCTTCATACAGAACCAAGCTAGCTTCCAGTCTCTGTGCTAGGCTAAGCTAACTAGCAGCTAGCTGTAGCTGCATATCAATCTTCTCATCTAACTCTTGGCAAGAAAGCAAATGTGTGTATTCCTCAAAATATCAAACTTTTACTTACAGAGAAGGACATTTTTACTGACAGGGATTCCTTTCTGTTCTACTCCAGTAGGTTTAGGACAAACAATTGTCAAAAGTGCACACTGAGCCACAAATGATTGAGGGCTATTACATACCACATGTCCCTAAATTTGATCAACTTCTTCAGATACAAAATTGACTTGTTTATGATAGAGATGTAATTATAAGGAGCCCTTTTCTGTTGTGCCAAAAGTACTGGATGTCAGTGCTCTTAGAAAGATGTAGGCATTGTAATATAGGGTTTATCATTTCACAATATACATAATGATGAAATGTACACACTTAATGAGCTATCAGGTTTTGTGAATATACCTACACTCTTTTTCGTTTTTCTGCAAACGTATTACACATTGGGTTTAGTTGGAAAAAGTAAGTTAGCATTTTTTGAACATTTGAACCTACAAATATACTGTAGGTTTGATTACATTAGGTTTTACTCACAGAAAAGTGCTATATCGTCTCAGAGTGAGATCTACAGGAGAGGAGCGCTTGCTTAATGTAAGCAAAAGATTCAACAAATTACTCCGACTTGTAGAAGCTTAAGCGTTGATTAGCTTAATGTAGATATACCCTCATCTTACGAGTCTTCCTCACACACACCTTTACAAACACCACACACTCCATTGCGGACTCTCCACGCATCGCATCTACTTCTCTCGCTTCCTTACAAATTGACGTAACGTGCCACGATTTACACACAATCACAATTATAAAAAGGGAGACAATTAGGAGTACATTTTAAATATCACTAGAGTTAAATGTAAGGTGCAGGATTGATTATAAATGCTGTATAACATTATCTAACTATAGCAGGTGAGCTTACAGGATTTGGTTATTGGCAATGCCGTACATGTATACGCTCAGAGACAAATCAGCATTTGGTTATTGCCGGGTCAGACCAGAACCACTCGCTACATCTTGGCAGAGAACGATACAAAAAAAAAAATCTCCCCACACATTAGGGAGGATTTAGGTACTGTCTCCACCCACTCTGTAAAAGATGCTACAATCAATGCATTGTGCAAGGCTCTGGAGAGATGTGTGGTGGAAAATCCAAAATAAAACTAGAACAGAGGTGAGAAACTCAAGAGGAGAAGCACGGTGATGACACGTCCTACTGGACTCTGAGGTTATCTATTGTATTTAAAAAAGCAATTTCTTATTGTTGTAGGTGTAGGTGAGGTTTCCATGTAGCCAGTTTTTCACGGAGGAGCAGCACTGTCCCGCTGCAGGAGTCCTTGTAAGAGCACTGAGAAAAACTAAAAGTGCTTTCGATGCTACAGAGATTTGTTAGTTGTTGGAGTTTATCCTACCGGCTGAAAACAGGGGAGGCGGTGGGGGTAAATGCTGGGTGGGAGGCAGCCCCCCCATGGAGTGCAGCAGGGGGAGCTGGGAGCCATGGAGGGGGTTAGAGGCAGCGGAGGGTGTGGTTGCAGAGCCGGAAGAGTCCACGTCGGGCGAGGCCAGAGGCTGGTGGAGGCCGAGGGGGTCGGTGCCGTCGCTCACCATGGGTTGCTGACGCGGAAGCATTTCTCTCGGTGGGCCTTGAGCATGTTAGAGAAGCGGAAGCGTTGACCACACACCTCGCAGGGGTACGGCTTCTCCCCGGTGTGTGTGCGGCGGTGGCGCTTCATGTTGGGCCGGCTGGTGAAGCTCTTCCCGCAGATCTCACAGATGTACGGCTTCTCTCCTGCACACAGAGGGTCAAGTGGGGAGGGGGGTGTGTGGGAGAGAAACTCTTTAAGGCTTTAATTAATAGCATTGTATTCAGCCACAGCAGTCAGTGTCAACACTACCTGCCCACATCTAGACAGATCTAGCAACTAGAGGGTGAATGTAATGGAGTATTAAGCAGATATTAAGCAAGATATTTCCCTCAGGAGTTGGATGAGACCAAAACAGAGCTAATAGAGGGTGAGACTTCCATTTGCAACACATCTCCAAATAAAGTTACTGTGTGTCTGCTGGACGCTGAAATAGTTAACTGTTTGCACCATAACAACAAGTATTTATCTACTCGACATGGAGCAGAGTGTAAGACTTTGCGTTTTGTTTGCACTGTGACTTTGAAGATTGTTTAGAAGTAGTGCAGGAAGTGACTCACCAGTGTGTGTCTTCATGTGTTCGTCGAAGTACTGCTTCATGTTGAAGTCCTTTCCGCACCACTGGCACATGAACTGCTTGTGTCCGATGTGGATGCTCATGTGGGAGCGCAGCTGGTATTTGTACTGGAAGCGCTCACTGCAGTTCTGAAATCAAACCCAATTAACACTTTTTACAGAAAGTCAGAAATGGTCCCATTAATGGTAATCATATTGAATTCAAATCCTAGCTGTGAGATGTATTTTTGTAAAGCACATTTATTAAACATTTCATCCGGGTTCCCTACCACTCCCAGATTCCTTGACCTTAGTATTTCACAAGAGACGGCCATAAAGAGCCTCATTTCATTTACATCCCAGACACCAATCATTTCAGGAATTTTACACTGGTGGACGTCTCGGTCGGAGGGAAACTCTTCATGTGAGTTAAGTGGAGTGGATATTAAAGGAGCTCAAACCTCACACTTGAAGGGTTTCTCTCCTGAGTGCTGCAGAGAGTGAACCTTCAGGGACATGCTGCGCTTGAACGACTTCCCGCACGTCTCACAGGTGAATGGCATGTCCTTCGTATGGGCTGAAAACACACACACACACACACACACACACACACACACACACACACACACACACACACACACACACACACACACACACACACACACACACACACACACACACACACACACACACACACACACACACACACACACACACACACACACACACACACACACACACACACACACACACACACACACACACACACACACACACACACACACACACACACACACACACACACACACACACACACACACACACACACACACACACACACACACACACACACACACACACACACACACACACACACACACACACACACACACACACACACACACACACACACACACACACACACACACACACACACACACACACACACACACACACAGTTAATGGTATTCAATAGTGAGCCACTCAATAGGACAAATAAGCAAACCCTAAAATAGCACTTAAAGAACAACACTGGGGCTTTTTCATTGGCTAATTACACCAAGGGTATTGGATGTGTCTCGTCTGGTAAAAAAAATCTATTGCCTTTGATTTCCTTTGATCAAGTCACTCGGTCAGTAGGGAGGATAAACAGGACGTATATACATTTATACAAACAAAATAGAGATACAATGACGCAGTGGTGGAAAGTAGCAAAGTACTATTTTGACGTACTTATACTGTACTTCAAAATACTACTTCTACTCTACTACATTACGGAAGCCGATATTGTACGAAAATAAGATGCCTATCTCCCAAAAAAGTGGAAGAGGAAAGCAACACCCAAAACAAATCTCTGCACAACAATCAGTGGAAGAGGAAGCCTGGAGGAACAAACAGGAACAAAGTGACCAATCAGGACGGCTGCCACTCACCGACCATGTGCTTCCTGACGTGAGCCATGGTGTAGAACTTCTTCTCGCAGATCTCACAGGAGAACTTCTTCTCGGCGTAACCGTGCACGATCTTGTTGTGCTCGTGTAACGACCACAGCTTCTTGAAGGCCTTGCCACATGTTACACACTATGGGGAATAAAAAGAGGCAAAATCAAGTTATTATTGGAGCTTTTTTGAGGATCTAGTGCAGGTGCAAAGACACTTGAGCGTGCACTGTGCCGAAAAACGTAATTAGAGTCAGTAGATTAAAGCGGCAAATGATCTCTAAAACCTCAGCAGGAGTGTAGAGTGGAGGTACTCGACACATTATAATTTATTATTACTGACTGCCAGTTGACAGAGCTACTGACTCTGATCGGTGTTAATACACTTGCATGATTGCAGCTGTGCATGTACTTATTAAGAGCTGAATAACACTTTGAAGCTGTGACTGCTATTATAACAAAGGGCATAGGGTTCTGTCTGAAGTGTGGAACAACAATGCATAATTGGGCACAGTGCCTTCCATAATAACGAAAGCAACATAATTAGACAAGCTGTGTTAATTTCTGTATATTTTACGCAGTAACATACTGAAAATCATGTTGGTTTTACTAATATAGACTTTACTCTCGAGAGTAGATGATGTTGGATTTGCATTTTGATCCATAATATTGATCGTATCATTAAACACAGCAGATTTTTACTAAATAAGGGATACAAATGTAAGTAAATAAGCTAAATGGGTAAAAAAAAGTTCACACAGGATAGTAGAAATAATGGATAAGGACACTGTCTGCAAACAATTTGATGGTGCAACTAAGCTAATACGCTACAATAGCATCCAATATTTATCTGACTACATCAAAAGTGTCAAACTATCCAAAATGTAATTCAACATGACAACATGTTAATGGGTTTAGATGGCCCCCATGAGCAAATCCACCTATTCATTGATTTGGCTGTGAATTCTGTAAACTAGGAAAAAGTGAGATGTCCTTCAACAAATGTACTGCTGAGTCCTACCTGGATGCTCTTCTCACAGTCGGTCTGTTGGTGCAGCAGCAGCTCGCTCTCCAGCAGGAAGCGTTTCCCGCAGTTGTTGCAGATCTGCATGCGGTTGTGAGTGACGTTCATGTGTTTCTCCAGGTACCAGCGGTTGTTGAAGACGCGAGGACATTTCTTACAGGGGAAGTGTTGCTTCTCCTCCAGCCTCACCTTCTGGCCCGGCCCGTCTGAATCCAGCATCCTCTTCCCTGGCCTCTGATTGGCCAGCGTTGCCTCAGTGAGAGTCTGCCTCATGGAGGTGGTTGTGCAGGCCATGGCGAAGGCTCTGGTTCCCCGGCGAGGTCGATCCATCAGGGCCGGCGGCTCCAAACCTGGAATGTTTAGAGTATTCTCCTCCTCTTCCTCATCCTCCTCCTCGTCTTCCTCCTCGCTGCTCTGCCCCATCATCTCCCCCCTCCTCAGGTCATCATCTTCCTCTTCTCCAACTGTGTCGTCGTTCTCCGCCTCACTCTCCTCTTCTGAATCTCTCTCGTCGTGGCAGCAACTAAACATGGCGCCGGCCTCAATGATGTTTGCTGATTTGCTCTCGGGGCCCTTTGACACGTTGAGGGTCTGGTTGTTGAGGTTGACTTCAACAATGATCTGGTCTCTGTTGAAGGAGGCATGGCTGTCTGGGCTCTTCGACTCCTCTCCATTGCTCTCCACCTTCGTCTTGCCCGCCTCTTCCACCCTCACAGAGAAGCTGCCCTCCCTCTTATACCCCAGCCCTGCCTCCTGTTTGATATCCGTGTACAGCAGGTTGGAGGGCGTCGCTACACCAGCTCCTTCCTGATTGGCCATGTCTGCGCAGGTGGTTCTCAGCGAGTGGCTGCTGATGAGGTTCGCGACAGGAGGGCCGCGATGTCGCTCATCTGCAGCAGGGCGGCGGCGTTGAGCACGTCGCGGACAGTGCGGCTGCTCACCAGCAGCTTGGAGGTGTAGATGAAGTTCAGGATCTGCTGCAGGCCCTGGGAGGTCAGGGCGTCCAGAGACAGGTCCACCCGCCGCGCTGCTTGCTCTGCGCCAAACAGGGAGTGGAAGAAAGGGCTGTAGGCCGCCAGGACCCCCCTTATGGGCCGGGAAGGTGCTGTGCTGGACGAACCAGAACGATGTCGACGTCACACAGGTCGGGCTGGAAGAGGCGCTGCTCGTTCAGCCTGTCCATCAAACAGGTGAAGTGCAGAGCCACATCCTCCACCAGGGAGAACTCAGCAGAGGGGAAGTCTGTGGTTTTCTCCACTATGAGCTGCAGATGACGGAGGGAGAAAGACAGAGACATTTAGAAATATGATCAGTTAAAGTTTCAGATAGGAAGCCATTAGTACAAGAAACATTTCCTTTTATCATATCACTTCATTGTCTCCTTTCACAAAACCTGGCTGCAACCCAAATACCCCTAGTGGAATAATACAGTTTGATACAACTAGATATTTTCTGCACTTGCATTTGCATTATTATGTTCTTTTAATGTTAAGCATATAATTTTGCAAGTTGTAATTAATAAAAGTTGTCTAAACAAACTTGATATGATAAGTTGTTATTTGGTTATGACAAAAGACTACCAATGTTCAAACGAGAAAAGGATCCATCATTGCTTGAAGAGGCTCTGCAACCTGTGTTGATTTGACCTCAAAGTAGAGACCTGAATATCACTGATATCAATTCTAAATAAATACATCCTAAAGCCGTTATCATTTGATTTTCAGTATGTTAAGTGCACTGCACAAAGTCACATGCAGGCCGCACGATACAAGAAAAATCAAAAGGTGTAACACTCAGCACTGTGCAAGGTCCTCAACTTCCCAAGGTGGGTTTAATTTAGCACAGGAAGGGCAGGGTTTCGATCCAGACGGGATGTGAGTGGGGACAGAGCACACACACACACACACACACACACACACACACACACACACACGCATACGTAATGTGCCCTCATGCACGAGCAACACAAATACACACATGCACACACAACAAACACAAACACAGTGTCTGGTCTGTGCCAGGACTGACTTGTCTGAGCATTGGTATTCATTGCCGTCCCCCCCACCCATTAGCTGGCTCCCTCCACACACCCACTAACTACACTGTCCCCGAGGAGCTGGGAATTATGCACAAGACAAAACACATCCGAAGAAATAATTAGGAAAACGATGCTGAATAAATACTAACTAACCCTGAAAACAATTAATGGAGTTTATAATTCGAGGCGTCTCCTGGAGGCAACACAGGACGAGTGCTAATATAAACCTTGTTTTGGCTGGAGAGGATGAAGCTGTGAGCCATGATTACATTCTCTACATAACTTATTTGTCAGTGTTTACAGTAAGATGGGAGGGACAAGACACGTACAATAAAAAGGCAAGATATTAATTCATTTTAGGACGATTATGGCACAACAAAGAGTGTTAGTACTTCTCTCTTTCCCTGCTGCCCAATTCCCAAATCAATGAAAATGCATTGTTACAGCTAGGAAATGGATTCATGTCTTGGCCTAACCTTGAACATCTGGCCTGTTTGAAGAATTCAATTATGTAGGTGTTAGATTTATTCATAGTTTTGAGCTGATAAATTGGACTGTGAGCAGGAAGAGATCAGGTTATCTCTCCTCGTGCTACAGACGTCGCCCAAGGGCAAAACACTGCAGCCTTAATCAGATCAAGAGAAAGTTGCAAACCGGACGTTATGCAGCTTTTGCGATAACAATCGACATCTGCTTCTGGAGATATAAATAAGACAACGCTGTCAAAAGCTTAAATTCTATAAAATGAATAGCATTAACATACTCAAACATCAATAGCTATGTGATTTGTTGCATTTATTTAGACAAAATGACTTTAAATTGTAGATTAAGTTCATATTTGTCAGGTGGATACATTAAAAGCGAGCCAGACAGAATTTTCGAGCTAACGTTAGCTACAGTTTGGCTAACGACATTTGTTTCATCTAGAAACTAGAAGCCTGTTTTGTTTAATTTCGTGAAGTCTAACTTCAAAAAAATACTACAAATGTTGAGTGATAATTAAATCTGCCACAGTTATGATTGTAAACGGAAAAAAAACAGAAACAAACTGTAGCTAGGAGCAGGGCTAACTGTTGATTATGATGTTAGCCAAGTAGCTTAGCCTAGCATAGCTGTTTATCTGTCGGAAGCTAGCAAGCTAAAAAACAAAATAGCTGCGCTGTTTTATTTAAAGCAAAGTACAAGTACCTAAATGATTTACTTAAGTACAGTTCTTGAGTAAATGACATTACACCAGTGCTTTTATGTGGGCAAAATCTTCAATCACATGCGTTTTAAACAATAAGCTGAACATATTTTATAGTCAAACCTACTACTGGTAAATAAGGGGTTTCAATCAGTCAATCACTGCTTTATTGTCATGCTTTAAACTACTTAATGAAATGGTTGCAGTTTCCATGCCTCATCTGTCACAATATGCAATAAAGCTCAAGCCACCCAGTCACATTTCATCACATTCAGTACTGCAGCCAAACAAGTAGCCTACTTTGCAATTAAACTCTGCATCCAACTGGCTCCATCTTTGTCTGTCATTCCGTCACCTACCCCTACCCCCCCCCTCTCCTCCCAAATGTCAGGCAGAGAGAGCTTGTTTGCTGTCATTAGACGGAGCGCCACCTTTAACCAGCCTCTCAGTCACCCACTCATGTCTCCCAATACATTATTCATATTTGGCCTGACCCGTGACAAACACGCAGCGGGGGGATTACTGGCAAGAGGTGTCATTTAAACAGGCTTCAATCAAAGCTCTCTATCCACACAGCATTTAATCTGCCAAACACAACATGTGAGGCGATCCTCTTCTAATGTGGAGGACTCAGAGGACCTGTTGCACACTGAAACTGGTTTATAATCTTATATGTTGGATTGTTGTAGAATTTAGAAGAAGGCAATCGTCTATTAAGAAAATCCTCCATTGTATGTTGGATAGAGATACTCTGTAGATATATATATTTAACTGTCAATAAGTTTACCTACTATATTCTACAGTTTTCATGTATATATTTACTCTATTAGTTTGTTTATTTTACATTTAATTTAATTTATATTGTTTACATGCTGCTGTGACGGGAAAAGTGTCTAAAATTGGGATATATAAAGTGAATCTAATCTAAATTATTCTACTTGGCCCTGTAAAACATTGATTAACTGGTGGTCACTCAAGAGTGTCAGACATCATATTTGAACAACTTTGGAGGGCAGATGCATTTTGGGAAGATAATGACACAAAAAAACATGTCTGATGGCAATGCCTTCATTAAAATTCAAGGTTTCAAACTTTGAAACTAGTTTAGCAGTAATCCAGTTTTGATGGATGATGCACAGGATTATTGCTCGGACCAAAAGTAAGCTACTTCATTAGTTTTGCTAATTACCTCTGTTGAATAGCCGTTAGCTTGAGTTATATGGGCTCAGAACAGTCTCATAATTCACACATGCACACAGAAGGATTCACACTTGTATTTCATGATCCGCAAAAGGATTCACACTTGTGTTTTTCAATGCACACACAAATGTGTTCCGTTTCATATACATGTAAATAAAATCCAAATACAGAAAAAAGTTTTACATATGTATTTTTGATCCTCACATATTTGTTTTCCGTTTAAAACCTCTGAACCTGCAAACACAAACCGCTTTCTGTGCATGGATCGCTGTGCATTCGTGTGTGGGTTTTTTGAGACTCCCCTGACGGTCACCCGATTCGTACTTGTAATTTTTTCTATCTATAGCCAATCAGATGTCTCCTCAATTCTAAGCCAATCACATGAGCGCGTCCCCACGAGGGTATGATTTATTGCGTTCATGACACTTCATATACGCATTTTGCGCTGTCCGGAGCAGGGTTTCCGCGGACAGAATTGAATTTTACCGGACAAATTTGAAACTTACCGGTCATGTTTCAATAATAATAATAATAATAAGAAGAAGAATTGTGTAGCAGAGTTTCCGATAGCAGGTAATTACCGGACTATGACCGGATATGGCTAATAACACGGGAGTAACGGACCGTCCACACAGCAGCGTTAAAAAAATCTTGGAGGTGGGCGTATCTGAAGCTTGGGGATTTTTTGCGAGCAAGGCACCAACAACCAATCACATGAATCTCCCGCCCCCGACATACGAAGCAAAAAAGTTTGAAGTAAACTGGATATAAACTCCCCAAACAGGCGAAAACATACCACTGTCTCTGCCACCTCCCTCCATGCCTGGCTCCTCCGGTTTATATCCCGGTAGGTAAATAGGGACTGGTCATAAAGCACCGGGTGATTCCCTACCGCTAATTTCTCCTCCATTTTTTGGAATATGAGGAAATTACCTGCGGTATGTCTCTCCCAGCATACACGCCGTTTGATTGGCTAGAGCTTGAACTGTCAGATTTGCGTACACGGGATTTGATTGGCTGACGCTTCCACCTCAGCCTCAAAAGTTGAACATTGTTCAACTTTGAATCCTGAAAATCCTGAAAATCTCCGCTCGCCTGCCCACAATGCAGTTCGGCGAAAAGTGAGGCAAAGTGAGGTCACCCCATTCAAAGTGAATGGGCAGAAGCGTTTCAAGATTTTTTAATGCTGCTGTGTGGACGGTCCGTAAGGATCATCTCTTTTCCTCTCTCCCTCCCTCTCTCCTGACAGCCCGTCAGTTTCTCATGCAGCTCGCTAAAACTTCACTCGCGTTTATGTCCATATCGATCAGATCCAGCTCTCCTGATCGGCCTTTATAGAGAGCACCGATCAAACTATTAAGAGTGAATATCGGCCGATAATGACCGGCGGGGCTCCCCCCCCGTTGACAGTTCACTGTCTAGCACTGGCTTCGTAGTGCACTGATCGATTAGGCTAAGCTAACCTGTAGCTGCTCCCTCCACACTCACAACTTCATACAGACATAAATAAAGCAGCTGTATTCGCCATACAGGAAACACACATTTAAAACGGTTTTGCCTGCCGTTTTTATGTACACAAGCATTAATTAATGGTTCGGAAAGTGGCGCTGTACCTTAATAATATAAAGGCTTGTATTTGCGTGCATTTCCTGCTCGGAAAGTGGCAATGTACTGAGAGTGGAAGTGTCCATGGAGCCTGCAGGCAGGCTCCATGGACCTGTCAGCTCCGGACAGCGCAAAATGCGTACATGAAGCGCTACGTCATGAACGCAAGAAATCTACCCTCGTGGGGGCGCGCTCATGTGATTGGCTATAGATAGAAAAAATTACAAGTA